AATGAGACTTAAATGTAAGCACGCACTTAAATTCTTTGCAGAGCAGGGATGGGATTACTCTCATGTTTAAGGCTGTGTTTTGCTGAATCTGGGCCTACATGACTCTATTTCCCTGAACCCTTAGGCCCCTTTTAATCATATCTCACTCTCTCCTTGCTCAGAAAAGGTTCCCAATTATGTCCAGGGGAGTTTTGCCCCAGTTAGGACTGCTGAACAGGTCTCAAGGGCAAGAGTAATTATGGGGAAGAGCACTAGCAAATCTCCTCTCTCACAATAACCTCATTAGCTAAATCTTTGATCTGTTGTAGGCTTCCTCAAGTTTCTTATTTAGGTTCTTCATAGTGAAAAATAAAGCTACATGATCTGAAGCCATAACAAAAATTTTCAGTCCCATAATTAGGAGTAAGTCAAGTGCCTTTCTTAAAGTCAATAGATAATAATGTCCTGTGCCACAAGGAAGGCAGAGTACTACAAACCAAGTGTACCTTGCTTGATAGAACGGGTAAAAGCCATTTGTAGTGTGGGAGGGGAAAAATAGATTCCTTGTCCAATTAAAAGTTGGGAAATTGAATATAAGTTTTTTCCCCCCCACACACACTCAAGTCACTTTCTAGAGTATTAAAGCATGATATCAGTGAAGTTACACTGTATAAATCTGGAGTGAACACAGTGGTAAACCAGGCCTTTTGTCTTTTAGCCTGTAAGTTAATCAAAAGGCTTCAGCATGCAAAGTATATAGTCAGCATTTAATGAATATTACCACTAATAAAAAATAGTTATAAGAGTTTGCCTGGCTCATACAAACACAAGGGAATCAGTGGGATTCCGTGTGGTATGAGGGTCTACCTGCGTGGATCTCTTTATAAGAATGAGGTCTTGGATATCAAAAATGAAAACAACAAATAATATATATAATGAACCCAGCAATCCATAGATCAGTTTTGACCTTGTTGTGTTGTGATGCAAATGAATTACTTTATACTTAATAGGAACAATGTGTTTCTTTAATATGAAGGCAGCATGAGATTAATGATGCCCATAGCTGTTCATATTTCTTGCTTTTAAGTACCTTGGTTTGTAAATGATGTGATAGGAAGTTACATTAAGGTCGCTTAGAATCCTTAACTATGTTTTTAAATGATTTTGTTTTGTTTTTGTTTTGGAGTATTGAAAGGACGAGAAACCATTATGTTATTAAAAAATGGCAGAGATTTCTTCTCTGAAAAATGACTACAGCATTTTTGGCTTTCAGAAATGGGTTGCTACATTGGAGTGGTAAAATGGATTTGTTCTTGTAATTTTATTCTTTTACGGGAGAAAGAAATGTTCCCCTTTTATGGTTATACTGACTTACAAAAAAAATGACATGATGATGAACAAGTTTTAGAAGCAAAACTCAATCAATTCTAGAAAACGAAATATTTTGTTCAGAAAGAAGAATCAATTTAAAACTAATTTTTCAGGTTCTTGTTGTCAGTGAAATGGTATTTTTAATAACAGTAACCAAAACCAAATATCCCTCTTGTTATATAAACCAACAGTTTTCTCTATAGAAATCACTTTTCAATTGTTAACAATGGCAAAGTGGGGTTTTAAAAGACCACAGTCACTAAAATGACACTTACTAAGAATAAATAAAATAGAAGTCATAAAAAGAGAATAGCTTTGACATTACAGATTGTATGCAATGGATGTTACAATTGAAAAAAAAAAACAACAAACCAAAATGCAATGCACAATGAAAATATTTGCCCTGGAAATCTGGTTCTATCTTCTCCACACATGACAGTCAATGGGAAAAATAGACTCAATCTAACGGAAAAGTTTTAGAAAAGTTTAGTTTCCTCCCCTCGTTTGAACCTTAATTTGGATCAATGGGGATATTGAAAGAATGGAGAAAATTTCATTAGTGAGAGAAAGAATCAATGTGATATTGATGAAAAGTTGGCTATAAAGCAACTGCCAGTAAGGGCTAAGAAAACATGAAAGGTTACGGACCTCTCACCACATTGAGATGACAAGGAGAAATGATGTTTACAATGCCCTGTTCAATGAAGTGGCATGGTGTTCCCCACAATCATAATATCTGTTATAACAATGGTTCACTCACTTGTTTTATTCAGTAGATCCTGTAAGTAAGATAAAGCTCCCCTTGTGATCTCACTCCCTTTCCAGCATCCCAAACCCAACACTGCTTAGTGTTCACAATATTTCACTCAGCAGTCTACCTTAAAGTGCTCTTGGGTCCTCTGATGGCCCATGGACCACAATTTAAAAGCCACTACACTGCCCAGACATTTTCAAATGCCTCTCAACAATCTTAGAGAAAAAGAAATGGATCTGGGAGGTGGAGGAGGAAAGCACAATACACTGTAATATGCAGGCTATATTAACTTTGTTTTGTGAGTCATTTGCAATTTCATGCTTTCACTGAATTTTAAGTTGTATCAAATCGCAAGCTTGCGGCTAAAGCCTTGCAGTTATGGGTTTTAGGAGTGGTAATCTAAAACAGCTGAAAAATGGTCTGGGCTGAGATAGTGCATCTGAAACATCATACATCAGATCTGTACAGTTGCATTGATTAGAAACTTCAGTTCATTCAGTCACTACCACTTAGTGTGCACTTCCCCGCAGTAAGGTTTAGTCCCCGGTCTTAGAAAGCATGTCTTCTAAAATTGAAACAGATTTAACATTTCTAATTGGTACACATTACCTTTTTAATCTTGATCATCACAGACTAAAACTGAAAATATAAGAAAAAGAAAAAAATGACTTGAGAGCAAATCCATCCCTGGTTTCTTTTGAATTTCTCCTTAAACTGCCATGTAGAACTTTGTATGTCCATATTCCTGACTATTTCACAAAAAGGACTAAAGTTCCAGGTGGGAGAATATTCCCCTAGTTTTGGGCTGTAACCAGACATGCCAAACCCATGGGAAAAAAAGCAGAAATTGGGCTTGTTTTTGGTTTAATTGGCTTGTGAGTTGCTTGTTGGCTAGTTTTTGGCTTTTAGCTTGTTGCTTGTTGCTTCTTTTTTTTTTTTTTTTGATCGGCTCCTGCCAAGCAGGGGCAAGGTGGGGGGAGAGAGTCAGGGGTGCACAGCATGCCCACCACAGTCCCAGACTGCATGCAGGGGGAATCAAGTCACATAGAGTGTTGCGGTTCTTTGGGATTGGCTTTTTTTGGCCTTGTTTTGAAATGGGATTGGCTTGATTTTTGGCTTATTGTAAAAGTTGGGGTGCTTATTTACCATGTGAAAGTTGGCAACTGTGGTTGTAACTCATGCCAGTGAGTCAGACTACGCTGGCAGCATGTTGAAGCCACCATTAATGAAAAGATGATTTAACAATTAAATTAACTTCATGAATCTTCTTTACATAAAGCCTGAAGTAGGTTAGTGTAGCAGCAATCATAATATCTGATCAGTTTAACTTTTTGCTAATGGATTAATTCAATTTATGACAAAAGAAGCATTTAATTGTCCGGTTTTGGTAGCCTTAAATCTATATAAACATGAAATACAGTCTCCTTGACAAATGAGATTACTAGAAACTTAATGGAAAAATCTTATTTGCTACCACAGCGGTGACATGAAGAATTGCAGCCTTTAGCTGTGGGTTACTAAGCTCTTAATAACGAGAGAAAGATACTCCATCTTCACCTATAGACACAATTACAGTGCACAAAAATAGCTGCCAAGGCGTCTACAAAAAATATTCATGACAGTGTGAAAAATATTGATTTTTAAAAGCCAAGAAATGAAATCTCTTCGAAACTGTTCAATTTAATCCAGCTATTATATTCCAAAAGAAACTGAGGCAAGCGTAAAGCATTTCACCGAAATCCCAGCTTTAAAATAAATAAATAAAAAATCCTCACAGAAGCAGCAAAAACAAAAAATCCAAAATGCGCCATAAAGGGATGCAGCTCCTGGGTGACCAGGTTAAATGCAAGCAATGAGTAAGGAGTTTGAATTACATTCAAACATTGTGCACCCACTCACTCCCTTTTTTCTTTTCCTCTCAGTGTTACACTGAGAGAAATGGCTATGCGTGTGTTCCCCTGTTGTGCAATGGCACAGCATTTTTGCTCTGAGCTGCTAAACATGTCACATGACAGCACCTCACACGGCTTCTGATCTATTATAGTAATCGCATGTTGGATTTGAACTCCGCTTCCGAGACATTAGAAATGTCAAATAATGGCAAAGCACACTGATCCTGAGTCTTGACGCTTGTGACGTGATAGTGACTTTATTTTCTGTCCTTCCTGTATTGGTATGGTGCTGCAATGTTTGAATTGCAAACACTGGAAGAAAATATTGAGAGCTAAACAAAACACTACTTTATTGCAAATAAAAAAAATTATGGAAACATTCCCATTGAATGTATAAGGTTAAATAAAATCTAAACGTACATCTATGGAGGTCTATATCTATAGATGGCTTTCCATGACACTAACACTCCTAAATGCATAAAACTCATTATGGGATTTAGTTGCTTATGAAACTTTTACCCAATGTTCCTTTAACTACAGCACTATTTGTTTCTTGTTGTAATATATCTTGATTGCTGCCTTATTAACTGCTTGACTGTGAAAGGAAGAAAATTGAATAGGGAGCAGGGAAGAGTCATCTTAAGGAAAAAAAAATAAACCTAAATAACATTTGCTACCATACAGCGAGTAAAAAAAAATAAAAATTGCTTATCTCTGCATTTGAATCTTCTCAGGTTCGTTTCAGTATGGCTTAACTAGCTGCACTCTGCTTTAGCCTACAGGGTAATGATTTCACCGAGACTTGCACTCACATTAATTACTGCCAGTGTAGTGCAGTATTAAATTGGTGTTGAACCGTTAGAAACTGAATACATGCTTTTTTAAAAAAAAAAAATAAAATGTACTGGAAGATAAATGTCTACAATGTCAGCTGTGGAGTTATATTCACATACCGTGGTCTGAAAATACTTACGAGATCACATTAAATAAAGCTGTGACTGCAAGAGAAGATATGCTGCACATGATCTTCTTAGGATGTTCCCTAGTATTACTCTTTGGAAAACGTGACATAGTGGAAGACTGTTTTAATTGAAAACAATATTTTATTTTTAAAACCCTGTTTAATTCATGCTGATAGAGGCAGTCACATCATTTTTCAACCGATATCAGCTCCATGCATCTAAACAAAAACATACAAGTGCCAAAGATTAACATTAAATAAATTTATGTTAAACCAACATTTTTAGGTGAATCAGGGCCAGTTAACAATAGAGAATTCATTATGGAAATGGAGTATGATTTCAGCGAGACAACTTCTCAAGTGAGGTTTAATTCATGTCAACATGGAGCCCATACAAAACACAGGTGGCAGAAAATCACTAAGTAGTGTGTCGCCCTGTGCAGGACCTTTGCACAGGGGTGAATTTTACCCTGGGTGAATATTCCAATATAACATCATGTAAAATGGAATTGAATTAATTCAATTGTTATCCTGGTGTATGTCATGGCAAAACTGTGGCAGGTGCTCTACAGATACTGGGAAGTCAGTGGAACAGATCCTCAGTTGGTGTAAACTGCTGTAGTTCCACTAGTTACAATGATTTACACCAGGTGAAGATTTGGCTCAAGGTCTGTGCTGTGAATAATATTATATATGATGCAGCTCCAGGGAGATTCGCCCTTGAAAGCAGAAATCCTAATTGTGTACTCCTTACTCCAGGTCCAGTTCTGCAACCTTTTCTTTCATTGGATGCTAATGTATTCTCTCATGTGAGTAGTCCTACTGAACTCAGAGGGATGTCTCGCCTGAATAAGTACTGCTGAATGTGAAGAAGGGCTGCAGAAGTTGCCCCTCAGATAGTACACCACCTTACTGTTTAATCAGGGCTAAATCCTATTCTTGTTGAAGTTATTTGGCATTTACAGTGTTGCTAATTCACAATTTTATTACAAGTTTTGCAATACGTGATACTTTTGTTTAAACCCCCAACTCTAGGACTCATGTGATTACTTAAGAATCTCAACCTTCATTTAAAAGCAAAATAAAGAAAGAAAGAAAAAACCCAAATAAATAAAATAAAAAAATTACAGCCTTGATTGTTCTAAAGCTTGAAAATGTGACCCTTAAACACTCAAATCCCAGAAGGCAAATAAAAAGAATGCCAAATATATTATTTGTAAAACATCTAATGATTTTTAAGATGGTCTCATGATTTGGGGGCCTGATTCCCTATTTTCAACATCTGCAACTGGTATTACTGTCTACAGTTAACTTTAATGGCTGCAGAACTGTGCATATGGTAGCATAGGGCATCAGTATTAGGCACAGCATACCCAGAAAAGAAAAGGAGTACTTGTGGCACCTTAGAGACTAACCAATTTATTTGAGCATAAGCTTTCGTGAGCTACAGCTCACTTCATTGGATGCATACTGTGGAAAGTGTAGAAGATCTTTTATACACACAAAGCATGAAAAAATACCTCTCCCCACCCTACTCTCCTGCTGGCAATAGCTTATCTAAAGTGATCACTCTCCTTACAATGTGTATGATAATCAAGGTGGGCCGTTTCCAGCACAAATCCAGGGTTTAACAAGAACGTCTGGGGGGGGGGGGGGGGGTTAGGGAAAATACAAGGGGAAATGGGTTACCTTGCATAATGACTTAGCCACTCCCAGTCTCTAGTCAAGCCTAAGTTAATTGTATCCAATTTGCAAATGAATTCCAATTCAACAGTTTCTCGCTGGAGTCTGGATTTGAAGTTTTTTTGTTAAAGAATTGCAACTTTCATGTCTGTAATCGCGTGACCAGAGAGATTGAAGTGTTCTCCGACTGGTTTATGAATGTTATAATTCTTGACATCTGATTTGTGTCCATTTATTCTTTTACTTAGAGACTGTCCGGTTTGACCAATGTACATGTCAGAGGGGCATTGCTGGCACATGATGGCATATATCACATTGGTGGATGTGCAGGTGAACGAGCCTCTGATAGTGTGGCTGATGTTATTAGGCCCTGTGATGGTTTCCCTGAATAGATATGTGGGCACAGTTGGCAACGGGCTTTGTTGCAAGGATAGGTTCCTGGGTTAGTGGTTCTGTTGTGTGGTATGTGGTTGCTGGTGAGTATTTGCTTCAGGTTGGGGGGCTGTCTGTAGGCAAGGACTGGCCTGTCTCCCAGAATTTGTGAGAGTGTTGGGTCATCCTTCAGGATAGGTTGTAGATCCTTAATAATATGTTGGAGGGGTTTTAGTTGGGGGCTGAAGGTGACGGCTAGTGGCGTTCTGTTATTTTCTTTGTTAGGCCTGTCCTGTAGTAGTAGACTCTTCTGGCTCTATCAATCTGTTTCTTCACTTCCGCAGGTAGTACTATAGTTGTAAGAATGCTTGATAGAGATCTTGTAGGTGTTTGTCTCTGTTTGAGGGGTTGGAGCAAATGCGGTTGTATTGCAGAGCTTGGCTGTAGACGATGGATCGTGTGGTGTGGTCAGGGTGAAAGCTGGAGGCATGTAGGTAGGAATAGCGGTCAAATCCGCACAGACACACCCCTGGAACCCCGACCTGGGATATTCTATCTACTACCCAAGATCCATAAACCTGGAAATCCTGGGCGCCCCATCATCTCAGGCATTGGCACCCTGACAGCAGGATTGTCTGGCTATGTAAACTCCCTCCTCAGGCCCTACGCTACCAGCACTCCCAGCTACCTTTGAGACACCACTGACTTCCTGAGGAAATTACAATCCATCGGTGATCTTCCTGATAACACCATCCTGGCTACTATGGATGTAGAAGCCCTCTACACCAACATTCCACACAAAGATGGACTACAAGCCGTCAAGAACACTATCCCCGATAATGTCACGGCTAACCTGGTGGCTGAACTTTGTGACTTTGTCCTTACCCATAACTATTTCACATTTGGGGACAATGTATACCTTCAGATCAGCGGCACTGCTATGGGTACCTGCATAGCCCCACAGTATGCCAACATTTTTATGGCTGACTTAGAACAACGCTTCCTCAGCTCTCGTCCCCTAAAGCCCCTACTCTACTTGCACTATATTGATGACATCTTCATCATCTGGACCCATGGAAAAGAAGCCCTTGAGGAATTCCACCATGATTTCAACAATTTCCATCCCACCATCAACCTCAGCCTGGTCCAGTCCACACAAGAGATCCACTTCCTGGACACGACAGTGCTAATAAACGATGGTCACATAAACACCACCCTATACTGGAAACCTACTGACCGCTATTCCTACCTACATGCCTCCAGCTTTCACCCTGACCACACCATACGATCCATCGTCTACAGCCAAGCTCTGCGATACAACCGCATTTGCTCCAACCCCTCAGACAGAGACAAACACCTACAAGATCTCTATCAAGCATTCTTACAACTACAATACCCACCTGCGGAAGTGAAGAAACAGATTGATAGAGCCAGAAGAGTTCCCAGAAGTCACCTACTACAGGACAGGCCTAACAAAGAAAATAACAGAACGCCACTAGCCGTCACCTTCAGCCCCCAACTAAAACCCCTCCAACGTATTATTAAGGATCTACAACCTATCCTGAAGGATGACCCAACACTCTCACAAATCCTGGGAGACAGGCCAGTCCTTGCCTACAGACAGCCCCCCAACCTGAAGCAAATACTCACCAGCAACCACATACCACACAACAGAACCACTAACCCAGGAACCTATCCTTGCAACAAAGCCCATTGCCAACTGTGCCCACATATCTATTCAGGGAAACCATCACAGGGCCTAATAACATCAGCCACACTATCAGAGGCTCGTTCACCTGCACATCCACCAATGTGATATATGCCATCATGTGCCAGCAATGCCCCTCTGACATGTACATTGGTCAAACCGGACAGTCTCTAAGTAAAAGAATAAATGGACACAAATCAGATGTCAAGAATTATAACATTCATAAACCAGTCGGAGAACACTTCAATCTCTCTGGTCACGCGATTACAGACATGAAAGTTGCAATTCTTTAACAAAAAAACTTCAAATCCAGACTCCAGCGAGAAACTGTTGAATTGGAATTCATTTGCAAATTGGATACAATTAACTTAGGCTTGACTAGAGACTGGGAGTGGCTAAGTCATTATGCAAGGTAACCTATTTCCCCTTGTTTTTTCCTAACCCCCCCCCCCCCAGACGTTCTTGTTAAACCCTGGATTTGTGCTGGAAACGGCCCACCTTGATTATCATACACATTGTAAGGAGAGTGGTCACTTTAGATAAGCTATTACCAGCAGGAGAGTGGGGTGGGAGGAGGTATTTTTTCATGCTTTGTGTGTATAAAAGATCTTCTACACTTTCCACAGTATGCATCCGATGAAGTGAGCTGTAGCTCACGAAAGCTTATGCTCAAGTAAATTGGTTAGTCTCTAAGGTGCCACAAGTACTCCTTTTCTTTTTGCGAATACAGACTAACACAGCTGTTACTCTGAAACATACCCAGAAAGTGTCACTTGTGTGGCTCCATGGATGGAATGTCATACTGTACTGTCTTACCTGTAAATTTTTGCAATTATTTTAACAAGACTGGGGGATTTCACCGACACATTTTTCGTAGGAGTCCTCCCTGCCATACCAACAACACATATCAAAACATGAATACCAGCCTGATGAATATTTATGTCTGATGAATACTTTTAACATTTTCACAGCTGGACCCTGACTGAGCAATCACCGCAGCAGCGTGAGAATAATATATGTTAAATGCAAGCTATTTACAGCCTCTATTTTTAAAATGTAATTGGAAAATGAATGCTGATAGCTATGGACCAAATGCTGCAGTCTTTATTACAGGGAGTACTCCATGAGCAAGCACTAAGTACGTACTAGGAAATCTGGCCCACAATGACTCTGCTTATTTAAAGAAGCACATTTTTGTCAATAACATCGCATTTCAGCTATAACCAATATCACCACACAGTCCTATATAAGATATTTTTTATTCATATCCATCTCAATGTATATAGTCAGGTAAAATGATAACTCTACCCCTAAGAAGAAAAGGAGGACTTGTGGCACCTTAGAGACTAACAAATTTATTTGAGCATAAGCTTTCGTGAGCTACAGCTCACTTCATCGGATGCATAAGCTAATTTGTTTTAATATATAGTTAAAGCATACATTTTACTTGAATTACAGTGCTCAATTTTCAGTGCAGTATCTCTCTTACATGAGAGAACAGCTGTATTCATCAGAAACAATTAGCATTTTAGTGTTATATATATACATTGAAGTGATTTGTAGAAAATTATTAAACAAATGAGTGACCCACAGGAGCAGATAGCGCTAGTTTTGTCTCATAAACAATCAAAAATTCTTCAATTTAAATTATTTATACTAATTTCAAAATTACAACCCTTAACAAGTCTAGCAGTAGCCGTGCCGGTTCCAGGATATCAGAGAGAGAAGGTGGGTTACGTAATGTATTTTATCGGATCAACTTCTGTTTGTCAGAGAGACAAGCTTTCAAGCTACACAGGACTCTTCTTCAGATCTGGGATAGGTACTAAGACTATGGCTATACTAGAGATAGCTTATTCACCCTACCGTGAGTGACATAAGTTATACCGATGTAAATGGTAGTGTAAACATAGCCTTCGATTGCCACAGGTAAATACAAGATCGAACAGATAGCATAGCATAAGGGACCATTCAAAGTGAAATGTGCTAACTACTTTGTTACCATTAGAACCTAGATTTTTCTCTTACCAAATTCTGGCTGAAAAACACTATTCTGTTGACAGCTTTTGCAATCAGGCCATTGAGAATATTCCATTGAGAATTAATCTATGTAATAAAGGCAGATCTGGAAGCACAGCCTGTTATTTAGATTGCTAGAAACTTCCTATTAGAAGACCCTGTTTTCAGTTGCTTATAATTTTGTACTGGGACCAGTACTATTCAACATATTCATAAATGATCTGGAAAAATGGGTAAACGGTGAGGTGGCAAAAGTTGCAGATGATACAAAACTACTCAAGATAGTTGAGTCCCAGGCAGAGTATGAAGAGCTACAAAGGGATCTCACAAAACTGGGTAACTGGGTGATTGGGCAACAAAATGGCAGATGAAATTCAGTGTTGATAAATGCAGAGTAATGCACATTGGAAAACATAATCCCAACTATACGTATAAAATTATGGGGTCTAATTTAGCTGTTACCACTCAAGAGAGAGATCCTGGAGTCGTTTTGGATGAAAACATCCCCTCGATGTGCAACACAGTCAAAAAAGCAAACAGAATGTTGGGAATCATTAAGAAAGGGATAGATAATAAGACAGAAAATACCATATTGCCTCTCTATAAATCCATGGTACACCCACATTTTAAATACTGTGTGCAGATGTGGTCACCCCATCTCAAAAAATTTATTGGAATTGGAAAAGGTTAAGAAAAGGGCAACAAAAATAATTAGGGGTATGGAATGGCTTCCATATGAGGAGCAATTAATAAGATTGGGACTTCTCAGCTTGGAAAAGAGACAACTAAGGGGGGATATGATAAAGGGCTATAAAATCATGACTGGTGTGGAGAAAGTAAATAAGGAAGTGTTATTTACTCCTGCTCATAACACAAGAACTAGGGGTCACCAAATAAAATTAATAGGCAGCAAGTTTAAACCAAATAAAGGAAAGTATTTCTTCACACAACATACAGTCAACTGGTGGAACTCTTTGCCAGAGGATGTTGTGAAAGCCAAGACTATAACAGGCTTCAAAAAAGAACTAGAGACATTTATGGAGGATAGATCCATCAATGGCTATTAGCCAAGATGGGCAGGGATGGTGTCCCTAGTTTCTGTTTGCCAGAAACTGGGAATGGGCAATAGGGGATGGATCACTTGATAATTATCTGTTCTGTTTATTCCTTCTGGGGCATCTGGCATTGGCCACTGTCCGAAGACAAGATTCTGTGCTAGGTGGATATTTGGTTGATACAGTGTGGCCGTTCCTATATTGTAATGTCAAACTTTAACTGTTTGGGCTGAAATTTTCTAAGTTGTGTGTCTGCCTCAGGCTGATTTTTTTGGGGAAATTTTCATCCTGAGGCAAGCACACAACATAGACAATTCTTTTGGTTGAAATGTTCCAGAAAATTTCAGCTTGAGGCAGACACCCAACTTTTCTTCTGAAGCTCTGTTGCCCTCATGTTTTGGAGCAGGGACTTGAAATTTGGCTGGGGAGTGGCTTTGTGTCAAGGATGTGTCTTTTGCCATCACTGTTAAAATCTCACCGACTTTAGTTTATCTATAAACTTTTGAAAAATCAAATGTTGCACATGCTCAGTATGGATTTGCCAGAGCTGTATCACTTAATTCCCATGTTAAATTCTATTTATTGTGTGGTATGGTGTTAGTGCTTGAATGGTGTGTGCATATGCATGTACACATGCAAAATTGTGCATTTGCCAATGGGTGGCAATCCCACTGAAAATGTGGTGCATAATGTTTTCAGAACCTCATCAATACCAAGCAGAAGCAAAGGCTTCGATTAGTGTTTGAAACCTCCATATCAAAATCATAACATCAAAAGAATTAGGGAGGAAGCCAATGTGGCTTTGTGAATGATTCAAAAGTCATACAAAAATATTAACACTTCTGCTATTTTTTAATACAATGTAGGTTGCCCAATTAACTATTTTACTAAGCCGAGAATTCCTCAACAATGTGTCTCTAGAGGACCTTCGGCACCTTAACTAGTTAAACAATTAAAATATACTAATGCATGGTAACGCCAGAGAGGAAAATTAGATATATTTATATCTTTTTAACATGCAATATTCCCTCTCTCAAAACCTTGACAAAACATAAGATATCAAAACAGTAAATTGGATAAAACTAAAGTAAAATTGAAATAAAATTAAGTCTTCTCTCCTGTCTTGAATCAGAAAAGAAATAAACAAAAATTTGATTTCAAGCAAATGTATGGCTTATGAATCAGGCCAAAAGTGCATATGAGAAAAACTCAGTAGATAGAGATGCAAAAAAAATAAACAATACCGGTTCAAATGATGCTTGAGTATTGCAGTAGCTCTACCCAATTAACTCAAATGATGGCCAGTTTTGAGCTCTTTTACAATGAAATAGTACAAGAAAAAAGGCTTTTATCAGGCTGCCAAATTATGCTCTATTATAAGGCAGATTAGCAATTCATAACTGCCCTATAGATTGCTCAAGATGGGAGTATTCACATGAATTTTTTCCTATGTATTTTATCAACAGATTGATTCCTTTACAGGAAAAAAAAACAAACAAAGCAAAATAAATCAAAAACCTCTCTAACTTCAGAGTGCTATTGAGGGAAATGAGAAGTGATGAAATATCTTTTATCTACAACTATGATGCTGCTACTTTTCCTTGTCTGTACAGATTCCCCTTCCTGCCCTTAATGTTATCTTTCTCCTAATACTACATTTATTCTGGTCCATGCACTTAGCTGTTCATTTCAAAACTTACATTTGAGGTCTGTCAGAAAACACAGGACAGTAGCAAGATGCAGATGTGAATAACTAATACCTCTTTGTGATCCAGTTCCTTAGGTTGCACTTTCATCTCTGAGTCCAATATGTTTTGAATTGGCTGATGAACTGGTATGGTGAGTTGATGCAAGCTGAAGGCTTCTGAGAGTAAATGAAACAAAACAAATTTACTTCTAAAGAAAGAGCTGGTATCCTAAGTATAACTGAGGCCCGCTCCACAGGCAGCATAACAAATAATCTGTTTTTGTTTTCTTTTTTTCATCATCTCTACATTTTAGCCCAGAGGGTTTAACTTGAGAATAAGCTATCAAGTTGTAGGGAGATGAAGAATGAAGGTCACAACCTTTCTATTTTATCTTTCTATTACTCTCAGCTAAAACTAGCTCCTTGGATAATGCCAATTTCTGCAAGAATTTATTTCCACTGATCTTTCCTCTTCTGCTCTTATAATGAGCTGTGTTCAAGAGCATGTAAGCATCTAATGTACATGCACAGAAATGTCTTCAAGTGAGGACAATCTAGCTGTTGCTGCCTTTAAGCTAACTGTAGACACCAGGAATCCTGAAGTGCACATAATCAAAAGAGATCATTTACTACATTTTTATAGCTTTAAGTGATAATTAAAAAGGGCAGTACAGAACTTCTTTAAGAGTCCCCATAACATTAGGGCTAAAGAGGCCTATACCAGTATCCTAACCTGTTGGGGTGGGAAGAGGTCCCATGAGTCACAGCTCTGTAAAGCTCCATTGCACTTTGCATAATAGTCAGTATACCAACTCCAAATTTGTAATTACCTGTACACCTGTACAGAACAACTGCTGCTTTTCACAGTATGCACTGTTATTACTGATGCGGTGTTTGGGAAATGAAGAAACGTCTAAACAGCCCGATTTTGGCAGACCATTCACACAGATTTTTACAATAAAAAAAGACAGATATACAGAGAAATACTTATAATGCTCTTTTTTTACTCCATTTGTAGTGGTTTAGGAGAAGAGAAGGTTTTGCATAGATATCTCTAAAGATGTTAGCAAACAAAAAACAAAACAAAACAAAAAATCTACCACACACACCATAATCCAAACAATCAATCAAAATCCCAAACCAACATCAATCTCGCAACCACTTTATATGGGACCTAATCAAGCCCACCTCTTCTATGAGCTGAATGATGGGATGGAGATATAGCAAGGTCTCTGTGGGAAGGGGAAAAGGCTCTGACATCATCTTCCTTCCCTCGGATCCCACTGAATTTCATCTTGACAATTGCTTTTCTGGGATTTAGGGTGGGACCAAGATCTGGAAGCAGTGGGTCCAGGAACTGCCCTTTCTCCACCTCATTACTGCTGGGTAACCCTGCACCTTTCTGCCTGGAAATCCCATTGGGAGTTAATGTTGTTGTTCAACAAACATAATGTATTGTGTGCATCTCTGTGTGTGATCATATTATTTTGTAATGACATATCCAAGAAAGATGATGGGGCCTACTGCAAGTAAGGGAAATCTCCATTAACTCTAAAGATAAAGGCTTGTATTCTAGTTTTAATTCTGTCGGACTCTGTCTAATTTACCTAATGTCTGTGCTTGTTGTTTGCAGCCCATGATTAGTTAGACTGAGGACTTGGCCCATGGTGGTCCAGCTTCAGGAGGGCCTGGTACTGTAATGTTTAGTAAGTTCAAAGGAGGCAGATTTGTTGAGAGAAGGCCACAGTCCATTTTCTTACCTGTATGAGTACTAAGAACAGTCTGAAACGGCCCAGGCTTCAAGGGGTATCCACTGTAGCTCACTAGCATTAGATAATATCATTAACCTAGTCAGCCACTCCTATGCTAGTAACTCAATACCTGTCTTCATAGGGGCCAGCTAGGCAGTGCAGAGGAGCCAGGACTCCCAACTTGATTTCTCTGCCTTTGCAGTTCTTGGGTTTCCTTTCTCAGTTTCACTTCCTGCCAGTATGGCACTCCCCCCACCTGCTGAGGGGGTGATTCCACAATGTCTTTATGGTCCGGAAGAATTTCTCAGGTGTTCTCAGCGGGGTTCCTTAGCTACAACCAATGGATTCTTTGTGCAGTGGAGTTAGTATAATAACAAACTATCAGATCCCCTATTTCTTGAATTACAAAAAAATAAGTAATTCACAGATCCATTATTATTTGCTGAAGCTTATTAAAACCCACTTGTAGCGAGGGGGCGTGGCCTCCTCCCTCCCAGACAGGCTGAGGAATAGCCACGACTGCACCCTGGAGAGCAGAGCTGGGACACCCATGCCTGCCCCGCTGGAAGCAGAGGGGTGGGACAGGAACCGAAAATATAAAAAGTGGGCACAGGAGCCGACAGAGGAGCAGGCTGTTTCCCACCCGCTGCTGGAGCTCAGACCCAATGGCATCTACTACAGTGTCCAAGACCTGGAGGAACTGCCAGAAGATGATGTCAGTTGCCAGAGACACCAAGAAGCAGTTGGGGCAGCCTTTGGTTGTTTACCTTGGTGAGATGAACGATGACTCTAGGACCCAGGTAACCCTATCCCGAATGGGAGTGTAGGAAGTAGCCCAGGGGAGCCGAATATAGTTTGGCTGCATTGCTGACTGACAGAAAGCCAGTGTGTTGTGGCCGGATTTCCCCACAGTCCCAGTGGTGGACCACTTGGCCGCTGTTAGGGCCCTGGGCTGGGAGGCGGTGGAGTCGGATTGGCCTCCATCCCCGTACCCCTTGCCACTCCACCTCTGAGTGGCAGGCTCCCCACTCTAGGTCAAGAGGCCTGCATCTGTTGGCAGTCCGCCAGAGCTGTTTGCTGCCCTGTCCTGTTTGAGGACTGGGGACAATAGACTCATTGCCTCTCTGTCCTGAATACAAGCCAGAGCCTCCTACCTGGTTGCTGCCTTGCCGTGCCTGAGAGCTGGGGCTTATAGACATTTGAGCTCTGTCCTGACTGCAGGCCAGAGCCCCCCCTAACGATTTTCTGTCCCACCCTGTCTGTGGGCCTGGGCCGAGAGACTCATTATTGCTCTGCCCTGAGTGCAGGCCAGGGCTCTCTGAGGGGTTGGGCACCAAGGTGACTGTCTGCTCTACCCCACCAAGTGGCAGGAGCCCCTGTGTTTATTCCCTCTGAATTGTGCCCCTCCAGAGGCCTTGTAGCAAGGGGGCATGGCACACAGACAGCCAGAAGGACAGCCATAACCTCCCTACACCACTACAGACATATACGCATTCTTAGTTGGATTTAGATTGTGAGAAACTAGGAATTCTTTTGAGTGTTGTTCTGCTTCAAACCCTATCACAGATCAAAACTTCAACACGAAATGTCCTCCTTTTCACAGAAATCAAGACGTAAACAGTTATTTGGATGTAAATTAGGTTCCATGATAATGCTAAAAGCAACAGCTACAAATATTTGATCAAATTCCGTAAATAACCAGGTTTTCCAAACTTTTCTAACAAGCAGCATCCAGTTGCTATTAAAAACTATTATGAAAATTTGCACTGTATCACTGGAGATATAATCTCTATGGTAATTTTCTGAAAGTTGCAAAACTGCAGGAAATGTGTTTATTAAAATCAAGCCAGACTAAAAGGCTCCTTAAAATCAGCCACCTAGCACAACAGTAATGATTATGTTTGCTTTGAAGTGGGGGAAAAAACAGGTTTTACATGGCTGAGTGTCAGATTTTCTGTGACTTCTGCTATTTATGCCCTGAGAGTTTGATTCAAGAGTTTTCCAGTTGCCTGTAAGTATTTACCATGTAAATCTGAAATTGCAGCACGGAAAGATGCAATAAGCTGAAAGTGTCCTTGATATAAAATATTATTATGCTCAGGGTTTGACAATCACACCATCTCCTTAAATCTATTGGGCCTGGCAGCTGCTTTCCATTCAGTCTAAACGAGGGAACAATTAAATCCCCTTTGCTTATTGATAGCTGAAACAATGGAAAATCAACACCCAAGGACTAGACCACATACAAACCTGCCAGTGTCTGGGCCATGTGGTCGAAAGGTATGTCTACACTGCAATTAAAAACCTGTGGATTATGGGACTTGGGCTAAGGGGTTGTTAAATTGTGATATAGATGCTCTGACTCAGGCTGCAGTCCAAACTCTGGGACCCTCCCACCTTCCAGGGTGCGATAGCCCAGGCTCCAGTCTGAGCCCAAATGTCTGCACCACAATTAAAGAGCCCCTTAGCCCAAGCCCCATGACACTGACACTGTCCAGCTGTGAGTTTTTAATTGAGGTGTATACATATTCTACCGGGCTTTCTGGGGTCTAATAACAAATGCAGCTGTACGGCTCTTTGTGTGGGAGAGCTGCAGCTGAAGCACCATAGATGCAGCCAGAAGGCAGGAGGAAGGCTAGGCACAGCTACAGATCCAATTGTAGCATAATCTTGAGAAAAGCTAAGACAGGGAGGAAAGAGGCTTGGAACTGTGAGCAAAGAAACTGTCTCCTGTTTGATTCCTACTGTGTCCTGGGAAACAGGACTTTATGTACATGTTTGTAAATAAACAGGATTGCATCAAAGAAATACCTGACACTGATTTCTACTCTTAATGGAAACAACCTGTAAGTCCCTGATTTTTAGCTAACTACTTGGGTCACAAGGGGAACAATATAAACATTCAGTTAAAAGTACAGGAACTAATTTATTTCTGTTCTCACACTGAGACATTGTTCATGACCATCATTCAAGTGGATTGCAGTTAAGATTATGGGGCGAGCCTTAATCCTTGGGTATGGCCATAATGCATTGAGCACATTGGGGTGTGGGGTGCAAAGATGGGGTAAAGCTTTCTTTTGTGGTGCCCTGATCCTATTGCTGTTCTGTGCGTGCTGTTGATCTCTGTTAGAATAGCTTGAAGCCCTGACTCTATCCCGACCTGGCTTCTCTGGGACAATAAGCACTTCCTCCTTCCCTGTCTATTAAGCACTTGCTGAGAAATTATGGCTGTGTCCTGTGTTCCTTTCCACCTCTCCCACCACTGGCTCATGCATACAGGGGCAGCAGTAACCTGTTTCTAAAAGATTAGTATTCAAAAGAGAGCTTTCTTCCACAAACAATATCTGACATCATTGCCTGATGGCTAGACCAAGTGATGTTTGCATGTTAATCCTGAGCTGTCACTTCTTTGTGTCATGTGCAGGGCCACCCCTGTAGGCCATCCGTGCTAGTTGTCCATGTCTTAAATGTCACTCCTCTCCAATCATAGTTCCATAGATTCTAAGGCCAGAAGGGACCATTGTGATCATGTAGTCTGAGTTCCTATATAACATGGGCCATAGGACTTCCTCAAAATAATTCCTACACCATATCTTTTAGAAAAACATCCAAACATGGAAGCAAACAATCTCACATTATGGGCATAACAGCACTCCATCCACTGGACCCATCTCCACTGATGTCTGGATTTGTGGAACTGGCATATAATATTTCATTGTGTCCTGCTATAACACGGCATCCAATAATTATATATCATTAATAATATTAAATTAAATAGCAGCTCAATGGTATTTCACACCTTGGACCAGGAAGTGTACCATACACCAGTCTTGCATCAGCCAGAGCAGTCACTTGAAAAATCGGTTTTCATTTCTACTCAAAGAACTTTTCAGACTGGGCATCCTTCACAGTGCATTTATGAGGGCTGCCTGCAAGAAAAGCACAGCAATCCAGCATCATTAAGTAGAATCCATTATGAATTAATGTGTTTCAAACTGTCGACAGAACATATATTTATTCACACAGAGGCATGATATGGATGTTTCTTTGTCAAGCTTGGATTTGTAGATAGAGTCTGCTCCTGAAAACACTTCTGAGATTAGTTCTTACTGCTGCGAATAGTCCTAGTGACTTCCATGGAGTTACTCACAGCAGTAAACACCGCTGGGAAGATGTTCAAAAGCAACTGAAGGATTTAGGTGCTCAAATCCCATTGATTTTCAGTGGAACTTGTGCTCCTAAATCCATTAGGATTTTAGAAAATCTCTACCATAATGAGTAGTATGTGTTTGGAGGATCTGGCCCAAACACTGCTGGTAAAGGATTAACATCATATCGGGAATTTACATGCTAATAATGAGTGGCTGTCTAAGTCTTTCATATACTCGCCACATGAACCCTGATACATGGTAACCACACACATGCACAAAACTGATTTCTTAAAATGTGCATGTGATTAATATTATTAATTGTGTTGCAGTAGTACCTAGAGGCCCCAACCAAGTTTAAACCCCATTGTGCTATGTGCTGTAGAAACAGTAAGAGGCAGTCTCTGTTCTGAAAGCCCTGCAGTCTAAATAGACAAGACTAGGGGGAAACAGAGAGGCAAATTGTCTTGCCCAGATTACTGGAGGTGAGTGGCAGATTTGGCTGTAGCACTCAGATCTTCTGAAGCCTCGACCAGTGCCCTATCCACTAAACATCACAGCCTCTCTTGTATGAATCTACCTCTTGATTCTTCATAATGGCCAGGTGCCATTTCTTGTGCTTAGGTAAGACTTTCCAAGTGTGCTAACATCAGTTTAACCTTTAGTAGCATTTACATACAGTATGCCTTTTAAAAAAAAAAAGTGGGGGCCACAACAAAGGCAAGCCAATACCATTTGTTATGCTTTGTTTTTCAGAGTCACAGTGGCAAACGGGCTGTATCCATTAACCTTTTTGCAAAGAGCAGAAGGCAAGCTAGTTAACATTTGACAGCTTTACAGAGTCGATTGACTTCTAAAGAAAAATTCACCAGTACGCAGTGTTCTCTGTATTCCTGTCTGTTTCAGAGAATTTGTCACAGGTCCAGCTATTATAATCTTCATGTTTTACTCTCCCAGCTTCCCATATTCTCTTAGTAAACACAAACAGAAGTATCATGATGATTTATTTAGTACATGAGTTTTAATTTGTACACACAGTAACAATGGTGGGGATGAACTTGAGCTGTTAGCTAATAGTATATGCTGTTCAGAAAACATGCATTTTCTTGTTATGGTTTTAAGTAGTAGTTGATAAGGATTCCAGCAGATTGCTAGGTATTACTAACTTACCTTTACATTCTTTGCATGAAAAGGTTAATGGTTACAACATGTCCTTCTCTGACCTTAGAAGGCATCCAGAAGGCTCCCAAAATTACAGGAAGATTATAAATGATGATGGTATCACAAAGTGTCTGTGCAAGGAAGGACGAGGATGCAGCTTCTATAATGATAACTCTGTGACAGATGCCCAAAGGGGAAAAGGGTGAGAGCAGCTCCCAATCTTCAGTGTAATCAATCATTGGGCATTCTCACTGGCATATAATTAATAGCCTGGGATCTCATAGAATGACTGTCCCTTACATAGGACTTAAGCAAAGCTTCAATGTAGTCCAGCACTCCTAGTATATAACTGATATTTCTATAATAAGGGAAAGAACAAGAGGGGAAAAAGCACATTCTTTATCTCAGGTAAGTATAACTTATCTTTGCCTCCATCCTGCCTAGACACAGTAATGCTAGACTGGGCTACAGTGTTATGTTAAAATGTAATTATTTAAATTAAACCTGAATATAACAGAACTGAAGTGTGACCAGCTACAAAACACATATTCAGGGTAGAGCAGGAAGGTAGAAAGGGTAGGGTAGAGACTGGTGGATATGTAGCTAACCAACCAGGTATTAGAAAACATAAGCGACATGCTTCCAGAGCTGGATTTACACCTTACGCACCCCTAGGCACAGCATCTTCAGTGCCCCCCGCTGCCTACAGCTGACCTTTGTGTTTTCCATAAAAAATGAAATGAAAAGAAATATAAACAAATCCTCCCCAGGAAAGCACTAGACCCTCCACCACACACGGAGCTCCCAGCCCAAGCTGGGGTGAAGCCCACCTGCCCCAGGTGAGGTGCAAGGACTGTACCTCTCCCTACAGCAAGTGATCCCCAGGTGTCTTCTATCCCTCCCACAGGGTGGCACGGCAGCTGTGCTCTGGCTCTGCCTGTGCAAGTGAATGGGGAACCTGAGTTGGGCACCTGCGTTCCCTATACAATGAATGGGAAGAAAGGTGACCCCAAAAACCAGCACGCTAGGCAGGTCATCTAAGCTAACCAGACCAGAAGGATATGTGCTAAGCCTGGGCTTCAGGGAGGCACGTATCTCTGTTAGCGATCCACTACCTGGATGTCAGGAACCCACTACCTGGAGTCAGGCTTAGGCATTGAAGGTGTTCCTTGTGAGAATGAGTTAGGTGCCTGCCTTGCTCCATACAAAACAGCCGGAGGAGGTGCCCACCTTATACCTTTCAGCTCAGTGGTTCAAGCATTTTCCTGAGAAGTGTTACGAATTACACCTGGTAGGACACGCATACAACTGCTGCGAATTATACCTTGTAGGACACGCACACCAATGCTACGAATTACACCTGGTAGGACACGCACACCAATGCTGCGAATTATACCTGATAGGTCACGCACAGTTCAAATCTAGGCTGAGGCACAGAAACAAAGTCCACAACTGCAGAGTTCCCAAAAGACACTAAGTTTATTACACTCGAGCGTGGTGCCCCCCTGCTAGCCAGGAGGGGACCCTGAACGCAGATTATTAGCAAAGCATGTTGCCCTCGTGCATCGGAAACCTTAGCCAATAAACAAACCCTTGTCTTATCTACCACCTATCCCTGCTTGGTGCATTCCTCGTGCTATACCAGTATGTTAATTACACAGCATGGTCCTAAAGCCATGCATCAGTAACTTTTATTATCAGAATGGGAGGCCTCACATCAAGGCCAAGAGACAGGGAGTTAGAGACTGACAAAAACCAGATACTGGGAGTCAAGGCAGGCTGGAGACAAGGAGGAGGATTTTCACAGGGATTCAGTATCTAAGGATCACTCCTCCTGGTGTATGATGTGCTGGCATTTAAACAATGGTGGGTCCCAAACCAAAATGGAGTCACATGTGCTAACTTTTCCTTAACAGAAGTAAGTGACCCTTGTTCAGATCCTTTCTCCTCCTCTAGCAGAGAGTGGATAATTGTACCAGGGTCTCCCATATCCAAGGCAAGCACTCTAACCACTGGCTAAAAGAAATAAGGGGAGAGGGGAGGCGGTGAGCTGGCATGGCTATAATCACCTCCTCCTCTGGCCAGATCTTTGAATGGGGCCTGATCTGGTATGTGGCCTCTGAGGATGCTTACCAGATCAGGCCTGGGTGTGTATCCCACACAGAATGTGAAGGGGTTAATGTGGGCCTGCAAGAGAGAGAAAAAGCCAGGCTTAACTAATAATGAAGCTTTCCTGGGAGGGAGGGAGGGTGGAGGCTGGGTGATGATCATAAAGCTAAGAAGTTTCTAGCAGAAAGAAGCTGGAACTGGATCTGGAATGCATGCCCAACAGCACTGGTGGTAATTTTTTCAGATTAAATCTCAGTCTTTATAATGATAAAAAGTGATTTAATCAATGAAATTGTATTTGTAATAACAGGGTTAGTAGATATGTGGATGCATGTAGCATGTAGTGAATATCAGGATAACAGGGAACAATATGATGGCCAAAGCAACTAAAAGCGTTGTAAGACATGGAAAGATTAACATAGAAATACCTTTGATTAAACACGTTCAAAAGTCTAGTACGAAAAATTTAAAAGAGGAATGGCAAAAAAATTGGATTAATGAAAAAGGGGAAGAAGATCTTTTTGAATTCTGCTTTAGAGTTGAGGAAAACAACATACTTCAGGTTCTGGGTAGAAAAAACTAAGTGATTTTGTTTAGAGTACTAGCTGGCTATTGTGGCTTAGACAAAAATCTTTTTTGAATAAATAGACACAAAGATGGACTATGTGCACTCTGTAAAATGGAAGAAACAAGTGATTACCTTTTATGGGTATGTAAGGACTTTGAAAAAGAATGGTAAAAGCTTTCTGAGGAATTCAAACGTCTTCAGGTAACAAAAGTTGTATTATGTTATTTAGTAAATCTATGGGGGAAGTGGAGTAGTATTAGAAAGGCATTGTTACATTACCTAAAGCACACAGGGCACAGTGAGAAAATATAAACCACTAAGTAATTAGGAATTATAGTTGGCTGCTATAGACTATTCAGTTAAGACTGCTTTGCCATTAAAAGAAAAAAAAAGAAAAAGTAAATAAAAGAAAGCGGCTTCAAGGACAGAATCTTCAGTCACTCTCAGGGGATAGAAGAGGTAGAAAACAGTCCTGTGTGTCAGCAAGAAGTCTGAGGGAGTAGACTTTGGCTGCCAGTTACAGGGTCCCTGGGCTGAAACACAGTATACAGGGAGGGCCCAGGTTCCCCTACCAGCCACCGAGGAAGGTGGGGTGAAACCCCCTGAGATAAAAGGTGTAAGGACCACAGAGCCCAAAGACAGACAGAAGACCTGCTGTAAGGTCACTGGACTACAGTTGGGTTGGATTCTGTTATCCTGGAAGGAGTAGACTAAAGTGTGACCTGGCTGGAGAGGCCAAGTTGCAGGAACAGACACCATCACAGCGACTGAGTGACTGTCAGAAGCCGACGTCATATGGGGAGAGAGCTTCTACACCATGCCTGGCCAGAAGGAGGTGCTCCTGTGGTGACTGAACCCCTTAACAAGGCCCCACATGAAATATAAGCAGATGAATGCATATTTTCCCAGATTCATGGATCGTTCTAGGTCAGAGGCAGGAGAC